CCGATTCTTACTTTTCAATCTGGAAATTCGGAATCAATTTCAATTTCTGTGGTAACTTCGTTCGAACTGAGACCACTTGGGTAACGCGAGGTGCTTTCTTGCTTAGCATTTATCATTAATTGCTATTTGAGCATTAAACGATGTCCCATGAGGTAGCAAGATCGCGACGTTTCCTAATCTCCTCGAATGGTTCTGATTCCTCTGGGAGTCGGAAATTTCACACATTGGTGATAAGTTGAAGGTATAGCCTTCATTTGATATATCCACGGAGTTCCGAGACGGTCGAAAACAATGAATTCTACAATCTTTGGAACCCCTGCGGCGAGCACTGGTAGTTTTATGTTTCCTAAGGACATAGATGTGTCACTCGTGAAAGCTACTAATGGTGCTGGTGGACCGATAATGTCAGCTTTACTGATTCCCATTCTTTGCAAAGTGCTTAGAAATATGAGATCTACCGAGCTTCCAGTATCAATTAGACACCTTGTCACTTCGAAGTTCGCAACATCTAAAGTTATCACAAGAGCATCGTCATGAGGTCCTGCTAATCCTTGAGTGTCCGAATCGTCAAAAGAGATAGAGGGTATTTGTTCATTTGATTGAAAACCCATAGCAGTTTGAATTGCTGCTGATTTCTTATGCTTTTTAATCGATCTGATCGAATCTCGGCATAATTTGGATCCTCCCATTATAACATCGATCCTTTTCTTGGGAGTGTTCGGAGTTCCGGGCCCATTGGGCTTATGTTTCTTTTCAGGAGGATTAGAAGCTTCAGAATCTTCTTTTTCTTTATGATAAGATACCATAAATTCCTCGATATTGAAATTAGCGAGCTCTCCAGCTGCCCACAGTTCGGTGAGGTGCTTTTTGAGTACGCTGCAATCTTTGGTAGAATGCCTGTTTACTTTGTGAATATCGCAATAGGCACTTTCATCTCTAACCCAAGTATTAGGAGGATTGTATCTTCCTCTGCTTGGGGAGGGTTTTCCTACAGCATTAGTAGCAGGATTAACTCCGAACCGTTTTTGATCTTTTGGTTCGAACTTTTTATTTGGATTCGCAACGACTAATTTAGCTGGCCGATGCTTTTTAGCGAGGCTAAGCTTTTCTTCTTCTGCCTCCATCCAATTAGTAGCTCTGAATAAAGCATCTTGGATGGTACTTGGATGATTGACGATGATTTCTTCTCGAAATCGGGATTCATGCCAGAGTCCGTTCCTTAAAGCAGAAAGGGCAGCAGCGTGCGATACCCCAGGAATTTTGGCTATCACTTCTTTGAATTTAACGATATATTTGCGAAGTGGTTCATTCTGACCTTGGGTTAAATTCCAAAGATCCGCATCAGAAGTTGCCTTTTCCATGAACATGGAATATTGTTTTAGGAATGCAGAGGACAATTCCTTAAAACTATCAATAGTTTCTGGTTCTAACTGGGTGAACCATAGCAGAGCCGGTCCGGAAAGATTCTCGAAAAATAGTTTGCAAAATCCGGCATCTTCCTCGCCTGGTTCTAGATCAATTCTGCATGCGGCGATCTGAAAAGCAGCGAGGTGATTTTTAGGATCTCCTTTACCATCATAAGTTGGTAACTTAACCTTTCGAGAATCTTTGATCCGAAGGTTCGAGATTCTCGAGGTAAAGGGTGTTCGACGAGTTTCTTCGATTACTCGATCGATCTCAGACGCCGAACTGGTCGCCTGATGAAACTTCGACTTCATTTCATCAAGCTCTTGACGAACTTTGACGAAATCGTCTGAAAGGATGACATCATGATCTTCCATAAGGAGTCCTTCGTCAATAGCAGGATTTCCCTGATTTTGGGGATTTTCATCCCCTATTGGGTTGGACCCATCTCCTACGGCTGCCTGATTGCTAGTACTAGCGGGTTGGCGTATAGGAGGAGTTTGAGTGCTCCCGGTCCTATTTTGTGCGGGAGTTGCGAATAGCTTGCGCTAATGCGTTGTTGTTCGCGCTGAGGACAAATTATCTAACCGGCTTGAAACAACGTTCTGTGCGTTTGACAAATTTGTCTGGGTGGTTTGAACACTCGTTAAGGTTTGCTCAATTGAGTTCAACCTTTCACTAAAAGTGGTATTGGCACCAACGAGTGTACCCACCTGATTGGTCAGATCGGTGGTTGTCTGAGTAAGCAAGGCAATTGCATCACTCAAAGTTTGCTGATCAGCCATAGTTTCTTGGTTGGGAAAAAAGGATTTTGAGGTAAAAGAGTTTTGTGGTAACTCCCCACAGGCGGCGCCAAAATGTGGATGTGCTCGCGGAAGCGTGAAACGTGAAGTGCATTTTAGACGTGAAGGATCGACAAGATTCGCGGATGTGTAAGTAGTTCCTTTGGCCCATTGTTTCTTCTTAAAACCGTTTTATATATAGTACCAAGCTATCTTTCCTTATAATATTTTTTTTTTCCTCCAGCTATTATTATTTTGCTCTATCAATAAAGAAGAGGATAATTGTTCGATCAATAGAGGATGTCAAAAAGTAAGTCTTTTTAGCACTCCAACATATCTCATAATTGATATAATATTTTCCTTTTCACAAGTGTTAAGTAATTTGTAAGAAGCCAAGAAGTAACACTTGTGAAATACCAAGAAGTAACTTAAGATTTCATCCCTATATTGATAATACTATATATACCATGAAGCATTGGAGATCAACAATAATGGTAGAAGAAAAGCTTAGTGATTTTTCAACTAGTTTTCGGTATCTTATAAACAGCTTGTTTACACCCTTATAAACCTCATTGCTGGTTTGCAGGTTCTTGAATGACCACCCTGAATACATAAGAGAGGGAGTAACTCCTTCTCGATTCTCCTTCAAAATGCCAAAACCCCTTAATGCATGAAAACTATGTTAAGAAGCGCACTCGACCAGCGAAACCTACTGTAGATGCTAAAGGTATGTTGCTTTTTTTCCTCACCTTCCTTGTGTATCAAATGTTTAGGTAACTTTTGTTGAGTTCTTATAGGAAAATAATCAAAAATGACATTGTTGGGTAAATATTGTTATCAGAATTGGGGTCATCTTGTTTTTCCCAACTAATTCAGTGGCATTGATATCTCCAGGTGATCATAAAGAGTCGCAACATGGTCAATCCTCCAAAAAGACAAGAACATGAAATCGGTGAAACCATCGAAGATGTATAAATAATTGAGAACTTACGTCCATGTGGACAAAACTTATATATTCATGACAATTTAAAATTAATTATTTCGTGGAACAAAGTAAAATCTTGAGTTTGTTTAGACATTTATAATCAATTTTTCTTGAAAGTTAAGCTAATTTTTTTTGGTTAAAAAAAATTATTTCATGTCCGCAAATTTTTTGTTGATATTTCTTAACCTAACATTTTGATTTCGTAAGAAATGCTTTTTTGTTTAAATACTTGCGATTTATATAGATACTAGATTTTGTCTTTCGCCTCGTACAAGAATAACTAATTTTGAAAAAGACAAAATTATTTTTGATTGTTGTATAGATAAATAGAGCAAAAGAACTTAAAATTAATATTTCTTTTTTAGAAAGATTAATATTATATTTAAATTCACATAAACCCCAAAGATCACAATGTATTAGAGTAAATAGCTCATCATCTTTAGTAAAACATTGCATACTAAGATGTATCAAAAGTTTGTTTTGCAAACATCACAAAAAGAGTCTAAAATACATGAATCACTAAACAAAACGTCAACAGTAAACATACTTTTATATATAAAGTTGAAGTAATTTTATAATTCTCAGAACTACACATGTCCTCCATTATATTTAAAAGAAATATTTACTCAGGTGTTATACAAAGGTTGGAATATTACTAGTATATCATACATTTTTTGAAATTTACTCATATGTTTAGAGTTCTTGTGTAAATTACAAGTAACACCCTTGATTAGTTTTTTTTTAATTGAGATTTTTTTAATTTTTTTTAATCCATGTCACTAAAAGAAATAAAATTAAAGCCACGTCATTAACTTTTCTCTGCGATTATAGAGGAAAAAATCATTTCCCTCTCCGTTACTTTTCACTTGCGAAAAAAAAAAAACAGTCTCTCTTCGTCTCTTGGCGATTCCTCTGAAGATGAAGACGCACGAGAGAGAATGAGATGAAGAAACTGATATAAAGAGAAAAAAAATAAAAAGGAAAACGAAAGATTACGTAACTTATTGTTCGCAGCAAAATTTACATGTCACAGCTGAGTTATAATGCTTCACGGAAGACGAAAGGTCGCATAAATTTATATGTCACGGCTGAGTTATAATGCTTCACGGAAGACGAAAAGTTGCGTAAATTTACATGTCACGGCTGAGTTATAATGCTTCACGGAAGATGAAAGGTTGCGTAAATTTACATGTCACGGCTGAGTTATAATGCTTCACGGAAGACGAAAAATTGCGTAAATTTACATAATACGGCTGAGTTATAATGCTTCACGGCTGACTTATCTTTAATGTACTAAATGATAAAATTTAATACTAGCATTAATTGTTATTTTCAGTTTGCTAATTAATTTCTTTTCCTACTTTTCTTTTATTAATTATTATTTCCAGTTTTTTTACATATCACGGCTGAGTTATAATGCTTCACAGCTGATTTATTGGAGTATTGCGGCTGAGTTAGGATAACATTATGGCTGATTTGTCACGAATATACATAAAACATATAAACCAACAGTCATGTTCGCCATTATCCGAAAAGAAAAATTCATGCAAACAATACTACATCGGACAAGTTTTACCATTCTGCCAACTTCTTTACATCGGAAACATGCGTAGCTCAGCTTTAACTGATGGCTCAACTCCTTCAATCCGTAGTCATCGAGCACCAACTTCACAAGCTTGTCGTGCGTTGTTTCCGCATCTATCCGCACAACTCTACACCCTCTATCGTCGGTGTTAAATACATATTTGTGTTTCTTTACCCAATTACCGGAACCGGATCAATCATATCAGGAAAAGGATGAACGAAAATGAAGAAGAATGAGAAAGACGATGACGAATTAGATGTTCAAAACTTAAGTTCTGGTGATGTGAAAAACACAGGTGAAGAGCAACACAGTGAAGAAGAAGACGAGTAGAAAAAAGACGTTTCGTATTTCCTTTGATGATAATGACATGGAATGTTACATCCGACATCATTTTTTAATTGATGAAGTGGCAAATAAGCCAGCAAACGAACATGTAAATTAGCCTAATTAAACCAGCCGTCAAACAAAACTTTAAGTCAGTCGCAACATGAATACTATTACGGTAATTAAAAAACGAAAAAAACGGCTGCCAAATTCAGCCGTCTAACGTTGTAACTCAATCTTTAACTCAGCCATATCGTTTAATAAGTCGGCCGTCATTGCATGATATTCTAGTAATTAATCTTTCGCTACTAAGTCAGCCGTAATTAGGCCGAGTTTTCCCTTAATCCAGCTCATTACGGCTGATTTCTGACACTCGAACATAAATCAGCCGTAACGACATCCCATAACTAAGCCGTCTTTGATAACTCAGCCAGCCGGAGAAAGTTAATTCAGCCTTGTCGAAGCAATAACTCAGCCAAAATTTTGCCAAATCAACCATCGGGTAAAAACTCAGCCGTAACTTAGGCTGGGTTATGCTCGAAAGTCAGTCATTTTCTCATAACTCAGATAGATTTCATTAAGTCAGCCGTAACTCCAGGCTGGGTTATACTCGTAAGTCAGCCGTTTGCTCATAACAGCCATTTTCTTTAAATCAGCCGCAATATACCATAACTCAGCCGTCATTGCCGCTGTATCGCTTTACGGCTGAGTTCATTAATACACGTCAGGGATTTCTGACGTGGCGACGCGGTTTTGCTGACGTGGCAGTGGCATTCTTTGTAATTACATTTTTCCTATAACGTTTAACAGGGGCACGCTGGGTATACAAATATACCCGAAATATGATAGCAATAAAAAAAGATCTATATGTTTCTGGTTATTTCACCTAATTTGTATAACATCTAAGTAACTTTCCCTATTTAAAATACAATTAGGATTCTATTTGTTTTCCTTATATCTATTTCTATTTTCTCACGCTTTCTCTATTTTTATCATAACTAGGCATGTACCTTAGACATAAGAAAATGAGGAAACATTGGCCTAGGACCTTTAGAAAAGATTAATATTTAAATATATAATTTATTATAATATTATTTAACTCATGCACATAAGGAAAATAATCTAGTTGTTTTGAATTTTTTTATATAGTGTAATATTAGTAGATAGCCAAATTCGACAAAGAAATTAAGAAAATAACCATTGCTCGGAGAAACAAAGAAAAGAAATGGGGTTATTAAAGTAAAAAATGTTTGTTGTCCGACAAACACTATTGTGGCAGTGTCATTTACTTAATTTTTTTTCGGTCAAAGATTATTTTCTACAAATACCGTTTTATATATTACTTGTTGCAATAACTTTTTTGCTATGATTTATTTTAAATAAAAATCAATGGAAAATTCAGCTTTGAGCTCTATCTAAACTCTCTTTTTTAGTTTAGATTTTTCTTCTAGTTTTTACCTTTTTTTAAAAAAAAAAATTTGTACTCTGAATTGTTCAGTCAATCGTACTTTTAATTTTACCATAAGTGTTAAAACCCATCTTCATAGTTTATTGTGTGGGAAGTCTTTGTGTTGAGCTTCAAGAGTCTCGTGTCAAGATTTATTTGATTTTTGCAATGTATACATTATCGAAAACTCCCTTCCTCATCTAGTTTTAGGTTATGGGTCTAGCATTATATCTCTTTGTAGTTTAATCTCTTCTTTCTCATATGTATTGTAACATTTTCGAATTTATTACATTAATTTCATTCCAGTAAAAAACAATGTTTAGCCAACAACATAACCCGAAATGTTAGATGATGGGGTACTATTTTCTCTTATGTAAGTTTATGTAGGTCGACTAAGGAAGGAGGGTAAATGGTGTGATGGTTTGGGTTAATTCCATGTTCCAACAATTGATAGACTCATTTTTAACCATTGTTTTAAACAAATAGCTAATAAAGTAAAAACAAAATTGAAAAAGGTTCACAAAATTTTTATATGTATTAATATATCTGTTATATAACAAAATTTATATCGAAAACGTTATAAATAAATTCTTAAACAATTTATATAGTAAAACCCCCAAAACAATGATAAGGTGCAAAAACATTTGCTCTATGGTCCATGATAGTTTGAGTTGGTCATGATCTAGGTATTGTGAAATGGCTACGTAGTTTAAATTGTAATATTTCAATTTTCAAGTCGAAAAAGGTAAGAAGAGTATAACAAATAACTTTTAAAAATTCTCCAATACATCTCAATATTTTCCAAAACTTCTTTTCCACGCAATATGATTGAAAAGATGCTCCTCTATTTAAACTTTTATCTGTTTTTTATCCAAATCGTAATGCGATAAATCATAGTCCATAGACACCATTGCTTTGCTTGATTAACAATTATAATTGAAAGACAAATACGATTTTCCATTTAAAATGGAATAAACAAACCTCCCTTTAGTCTTTATTGACGAGTATCATCCTAAACCATTGACTTTGAGTTTCAAGAAGAGGATTTTACTATTAGTTTGGCATAATTCAGATTTGGATGTTCGTTTTAGGATTGTTGTTGAAGAGAAATCTTGAGATGTAGGGCTTCTTTGAGCTTCCGACCGAGAGCAAACGCCAATGGTGGAGGAACTGCATTCCCAATCTGCCTATGTTTGTCTTTTTTCCTCCCTGAAAACTCATAGCTATCCGGAAACCCCTGCAAGTTTTTATAAAACCACAATTTCACTTAAAAGAGTTGTATTCATAAGCTAATCTTACTTAAATTCCAAAACCAAAAAATCTATACACTTATATTGATAATAGAAGACTAACAAGGAAGGAAAATAAGAATTTTATTACCTGAGATCGGGCGCATTCACGGATAGTGATTATTCTGTCCTGATCAGGATGGAAGCACATTCCCACAAAACCCATGGGCTGAGGATCGGTGATGGAAGTGGGAAAGTTGCCTTGCCAGTCCAATCTACCATAGAGTCCTTTATAACGGTTGGGCTCCTTAGCTTTGTTTGACATAGCAATTGGAATCAATTTTTCCACAAGCCCATTTGATAATTTCACCTATAATATCATAAGAAATTATGTTTAAAGTATGCGTAGATTTAATATGAAATTCAATAGCCGGGTGTATAAGAGTAAGACTTACGTTTTCGTCCGGCAGGTCACGCCAGTACGCACCCGGCCTCTTAGGGACTTTCTTACAGCGAATGAGATTTAGTTCGTTCATCTTCTTACAAATATGATCAGTGAGAACAATCATGTTTCCTCTAATCTCCTTTTGGAACCACGAAACTGGAACATCTTCATACTACAAGGCACGAGAACCATGAATTCAAGTTAATGTAATGTATAGATACTTTTTTGTGTTGATGTTATCAAATCATACCTTTTTATTTATCTCAGATTCTCCGTTTTCTACTGGTGGAAGATCGCCAATCGTGTCTCTCACCGTAATTGAACGGAAAGGTGCACCAAATTTAGTATTATAAACAGCAGCATAATGTAAACCTCGAGATAGTGAGATTTTGAAACCCGGATTATTAAAGACATGCATTGGCTCAGGCCATTCTGGAAGAACTTCGTTTGGTGCAGCTGCCCAAATGAAAGCTCTTTTACGAGGTTGAGATATTCCAAATGCTCCTGCCTCCAAGAGTCCAAATCTTACCTACATGTTTCAACAGACTTTTTATATGAAAACCATTGCTCTATTGCATATATATGTCGCCAACTTCTACTAAAGAGCAATCACATGTGAAATAGAACGACCATGAAATGAATATTACCTGGTAACCCATTTCAAGAAGAGAAGCGAGAGTAAGTTGAAATGTTTGCCCGTTATTGAAAGATACAATTTTCTTCACGTTCTCGAGAAGAAAATACTTTGGCCGGAAATAATCAGCAAAAGACAAGAATGCTAATATCATTTCACATTGGACTTTACTCCAAGAGCGGTCACTGAACCTGTTCATACCAGAAAACCCCTGCCAAATTTTCCAAATTATTAAGAAGCTTTTCACTTATTCCACAAAACATATAGAAAATTTATAACAACAATTTAAAGATATACTTGGCATGGAGGCCCTCCGTTGATGAAATCCACTTGACCAGGCAAAGGCAGAGTACTCTTCTGGTTCTCATCAAGTTTAGCTGCAAGTTCAGCTGCCTCCGTAGTAGAGATACAATCATCGACATCTCCACATTTCTCCATTATAGCCCTACAATTAATAACCCGTAAACAACTGAAACCAACAAGAGAAATAGCCTAAATGGAAGAGCAAAACGTTTTCCTTTGTTAACTATTTACCTAAGAATCACATTGCAGTTGTCAACAAAAACCGTTGCGTCAGGATGGTTTCGTTTAAAAGCTTGCCCAGCTGGCTCTTCATACTCGATCGCCCACTTGGTATCCGATACACCTTGTGTACATATAAACAATGCATATGAATACATATTGTTCAAGCGTTTTGAAAGATAAAAGTGTATGAACATAGGTAAATACATACCCGCCTTTTCTAGTCCATAAGACATGCCACCACATCCAGCAAAAATATCGAGTGTAGCTAGACGCATCTCTTTAGGTACCTCATCAGGCTTCACAATCATCACAGAGTTAGTTTCACTCTCTACTCCTTTCCCCTTCTTTTCTCTTAGAAGTTTCTCGTCTTTAATAGTAGAGAACTTCAGCTTCATATTGGAAGGCAACTGTTACAGGACACAGTTAAGAGAAACAGCGGTTCAAATCTCTTGTCGCAACCAACAATAACCATAATCTTTAAAAAACTATGTACAAAATTAATTAAAATATATACCTGCTTGAGATAACCATTGGAGGAGTCATAGAAAAGTTCACAGAAGAAGATATGGTCTAGTATTGGATATTCACGGCATAAGGGCATATCATTTTTCTTCCTTACTTCACATTTTCCCTTTATAGCCTCTGGAGGGAGAACATATGTGTCCTCGCTATAATACACCTAAAATAATTGCCAAAAAGAAAAAAGAAAAGTATTTATTAAGATAAACTTATGATTAACTTTTAAACATTACTAAATATGTTACG